TAACTCTAAATCTTCACAACTCATAATAGCCCCGGTTTGCAAATAAGGAAGCAGAAATAAAGAGAAGCCAGATAACCCACCAAGCCCAAAGATCTAATAAATGGAGGCCCCAGGATCCCAGTGAAGGTGGACTAGTCTGTATTCCTAATATTTTCATTCCATATGTACTATCTCCATTAGAGACCTTTAATAGTACCTAGAATTTCTCATTTTCTCTCAGTCCAGGAGCGAATGTTTTCCTCTGGGTATAGATTCACACACTACAGTGGCTTCTGTATCCATCCCTCCATCCACAGCAGCAAAAACACATGTAACTACCAAAGCAGTCTCTAAGGACGGCTTCATCCATTTGTCCTGCCTTATCTATTTGTCTCCTTGGCAACCAAAAGGTTTATATGGTAACACAGTGAGTGTTGAACAGTACAGGTTCTTGTTGGGCAACCAGTTCCAGGTAATGGAAAGCTGCATACAGAAATTTATTTCAACTCAGAGTGCTTTTCCACAGAAAGTAGCATCTTTCCAGAATCCAGGACTTATTTGGGAACCTGCTGAAGCTTTAGGAAAAAATAATAGCATAAAAGGATCCTGTCTTGGAGTTGACAACCCATTAAGGAAGTCAAAACAAAGCCTTCATTGCTTTGCTTTGTTCCAGGAAATGAAGACAAAGTGATTCAGCTGTCTCACAGGATTATGCAAAACCCTTCTGATTAAACAAACTACCTGTCTCCAGGGAAGGGGGGGGCAAACATGACACAAGATGAGTATCCTTCACAAACAGCTAAAGCACTTAACAAATGTTTTAGGAGTAGAAACCTTGTTTATTATATTGGAGACAGATAAAGATGTAAGAAATACAGAATTTTCTGAGTGTAATTTTACTAACATGATATTGTTCATTATCTTACATCTAGATTATATAATACACTGTTTTTAACTTACGGTTGCATAAGCTTGCACTAGAATTGCACATATTGATAGATAAATAATTTCATAATTTTCTATAGGCAGGAGACAAGAGAATCGAGAAAAAGGAATCAAAGTCATTAACGTATCGCCTTTTTTATTCATTCCCCCACTCAGAGAGGTCACTTGGCCAGAGATGCTCAGAGACGCTTTCCAACTACAGAATGAAGTCCTTGCGTCTTAGTTAACATGGCACAGAGGTCTCTCATGATTTGGTCAGGGTCTACCTTCCCCCTTTACCTCCCACCGCCAAACCACACTGCAGTAGGTCAGAAACAACATCCAGTGATCAAAAGATGTCCCTTGGAAGATTCTTTTCATCTTTCCTGGAATGCCTCCTCCCCAGCTCAGTTGTTTGGTAAACTCATATATATCTAACTAATGCAGCTAATGCCTAACCTTGTCAAAGGGTCTGGCCCTCCTCTGTGTCACTGTGGTGACATTTCAATCTGCATTATGGCCATGGGCTGTGAGCTCAGCTTGAATTCTTTGAGAGACAGACTTTTGTCTGAATCCACTCCTGCTATACCCTCCACTCAAAGAGTGTTAGCTGTGATTGAATTGAAAGTGTCTTTAAAATCCCCATGGGCTTTCATTTCTTGGGTTGTTATCGAGGACAGGCTGCTTTTGTGAGATCTTGGTAGGACTATTTTAAGAATTAAGATTTTAATGTAAAGTGGTCTCTCCAGAGAATGTGTTATTTTGTCAAGGTGTGCTAAATTTTATAATTATTTGCCTTTCTTAATCAGATATTTGTGATGTAAGAAATAAGGATTATATGTAGGACCTCCCTGATGGTGCAGAGAGCTAAAACACAGCTCTATGAAGCTATTCACTGCCACTGCCATACAAGTTCAATCCCCAGCCAGGGAGCTGATTCACATGGCGGGCAGACCTCTCCTGCCCCACCCACTACCCACCTCAGCAATCCATCTGTTCTGTTCCCCACTCTGTCTCTGGTGAATCCTCTCACCTCCTACCCCCCCGCCCCCACACACACACACTTCTGGCCTATGCCCTAGTTCTAGCATGCATAAATAAATAAATCTTTAAAACATAAGTAAAATGTTACTAAGGCTTAAAAAAAAAAGAAAGAATTATGTTTTCTCCTCTGTGAAAGCAGTGGACTCTGATGGACACATATGTAGCAAATTTCTCTCAGTTTGTCTTTCTGAATGTAGAGAAGGCAACCGATCTTCCAGATTTGAGTTGTCTTACAGAAAAATCTAAATGTTGCTTTGACCTATGGTCACAGCAGGGCACTAATGCAGAGAACCTAGATTACCTAGTGGGCTGACTTAATGCTGTACTGAGTGGGAGGTAAAAGCAGCTACACTACCTGAGGCTCTGTAAGGGTAGCAATCTCAAGGAAACACAGAGGCCAAACCAGAGATAATATGCACGGGATTGTCAACCTCCCTTTTTCCTGAATTGTGTGTCCAAGCCACCAGCCGGGTGATCGAAAAGCAGGTGTACTGTGGACTTTCTCAGCTGGATGAAGTACCAGGTATCATCTTCCTAACTTGGCAGTTTACATGCCTCTATCTTTATAGTTCCACTGAAATCAGTCATCCATTCAAAAAGCAGGTAAAGTCAAGGATGACTCCAAGGTATAGTCTGAGCATCTAGGGAGCGGCAGCAGCATGTGGTAGAAAAGTTTCGGAAGAAGAAGCACAATTGTGAGTTCATTTTTAGATGCATTGAGTTGAGATGCCTGAGGGTGACTTAGCTGGAGATAGCTCTGTATTTAGATGCCAAGTGGACAGGTCAGAGAAGTCAAGGTGAGAGGTAGAATTTGAAAGTTGTTGTTGCAGATTATGTGTCAGGTGAGGCTGTAGGTAAGGATATGGTTGTCTTGGGAGCAACATGATGAATGAGAAGAGGGTATAATTATGCCTTGGGGCACTCCCACATTTACAGTTTAGGTAGAGGAGAAGTGATTGGTGAAGAATAAAGAGAAGAATCACAGAGGTAGGAGGGAAACTAGATATCATGGAAGCCAAAGAGGAGTGTTTTTGTAGAGGGAGTGGTCAACTTTGTAGAATGAATCTGAGAGATGGCACAATACAAAGATTATAAAGAGTACATTAAATAAGTGGTATGGTAATAATTGGTGACAGTAACAAAAATTATTTCCATTGAGTGACTGAAATGGACGTTAGAGATTGTGGAAGAGAATACAGGTTGAGGATTTAGAAAGAGAGCCTATAAGTAACTCAGGCCAGAAAATTGAGAACAAAAGGGAGGAGAGTGGTGGAAGTTAAAGAAGAGTGTGGTTTCCAGAGGGGATTTTTGGGGGGTGGGGGTGGGGAGAAAGATGGTGATTGGTTGGTTTTTTAAATTCTTTTTGTTATAATGATATGGATAAGAAGATGTATACGTGCTGATGGGAAGAGTCTAATAGGAGGAGAACATAAGAGAGAACATGATAAGTGACCTTGAGGAAAGCCTGAGGAGGGGTAAAAGGTTGACCTTTGTCAGAAGAGTGACACAGCTGGCTAATTACTCCCCTTTTTCCAGTGAAATGTGAAGCAAAGAATCAACTAAAATTGAGAGTGTTTTAGATTGAAGACTAATAGGATGGAATTTTAAAAGATTTTGATGACCACACTGCCAGATAGCTTTGATAGCTTAGATGAGGTCACTGGCCATTAATTTGTAGTGGTGCCCCATCATATTTTTCTCCAGTTTTCTTCAGCAGCTTGAGTGCAAGCATGGAGAAAACATATAGGTTTATTCAGGGTTGCCAGAGAATTTGCAGGAGAATAATTGAAACGATGGCTCCTGAATCTGTCAGTAATATGAAGAAAATAGTAGGTAGAAATGGGTAATTGATGAATGGGTAGGTGAATGGATTCATACATTGGTGGGGAAATGGAGGGACAGGTTAACTAGAAGTACTTAGTTGAAGCATAGTTGTAGTGGGATTCTTTTTTTTTAAAAGATTTTTTTTAAGATTTATTTATTTATTTATTTATACAGAACTGGGGTCCAGGCCAGATATGCGGAGGGTGAGAGTCTTCACCAGAGACAGAGTGGGGATCAGAACAGGCAGATCGACGAAGTACACTGCTGAGGGGAGCAGCAGTCGGGTCAGGAGAGGTCTGCTATGCCATGTGGATCACCTCTGGGGCAGGCAAGGATGAAACTCATGCGGAAGTGGCTTAAGTTTCTTAGTGCTGTGCTTTAACCCACTGCACCACCAGGGAGGGCCTGTAGTGGGACTCTTAATGAAGTTGAATGTAAGCACAGTTATGAATGACAGGCCAGATGACTGTATGATTTGATTTGATTCAGTGATGAAAGTAGCTAAAAGTATTGACAAGTTCTACAGCATGACAATGGATAAATGGCAGAGTGGATAATTCAATGTAATTCAATGGAATATAGAATAGTTCATTCATAAGTTCATTAAAGTCATCTGTGTTGATGGAATGGAGTGGAGCAGGAGAAGGGGGTCTGGTAGCCAAGTCATTACTGAAGGGCAGGTGACTGGGAGGTCAGGTGAAGACTGACATGAGCAGCTGAGCACAGGTGCCCAAATGTGGACTAATAACTATGAGCGCAGGAAAGGGGGCTCAAGAGAGGCAACAGGAGGACATTACTTCACACTCAAATCTGAAGCTACTTGGAGTGCAAAAATGACCCCCACTTGACAAGCTGATGAGACCTTGCTCTTAGAAGACTGTCCAGATTCAATTAAAACAAAGAGATGGAAGGACTGTCCTGAATACAGCTTAAGGATATGGGGAAGAAGTCTCCTTCTCCACTTCACTGAGCATGGAATGCAGGTTTGTCAACAGAAGACAAGTGGTGGCTTGGCTCGTTGGCCTTCAAACGCAAGCAAATGTTTTTCTTCTGCTCTTATTCCTAGAATATCTTCAGACATCTGGAATAGTTTTTTAAAGTAATTTAATTCTTTCTAAAATTAGGGTCTTTTGCTGATTCTACATTCTACTTTGACACTTTGAATACCAGTATTCATTACATAATAATTTAGCTGCAAATCCAAAAGTGTATATGAGATTGGTTGGTACCTGTATTTTCTTCCGTACACATCTGGTGACTAGATCTCTCTTATGAGCTTGTCTTGGTATCATTTGCTTCTTTTTTCCCCCTAAAAGTGAAGCAGTAGAATGTGTTCTGGTTAATTTAATATTTTGATTACTTAGGTTGTAGTTAATTCAAGTGTATTATAATGGACCTCTACTCTTCCAGCCCTACAAAGGTTCACGTTTGATCTAGGTGGTGTCTATCAATAGAAGCAGGAGAAGGATTTGATCACAAAATTGTAGGCAACGTTTTTAAGCCCACGTGTTACCATTATAGGGTAAAAATGCTAACTACCTAATGAATTTACTGTCATTAAGTAAAACATCTTTATTCATTTGTCCGAGCTCTACAAACCAGTTTATAATACTAATTAATCAAATTCCAGGATCTGGCTCTAAAATAAAAGTTTTCACAATTAAGACATCTCATGAAGAGAAGTAAAGGAATATCCTCCTCCCCAAGAGCTCTGGGAAAATGTGGATTTCTTTGCATTACACATTCAATGAAGGAATTTAATATGATAAGGCATTGAAAAGCTCTAAAGAATAACAATCCTATTTTCTCGTGTCATTATTCATACCATTTGTCCCATTCTTTCTTGATATATACCAGATCTTGGAAGCATTTGAACAAGCGGGTCTGATAAGATCATGAAGAATCTAGACATAAAAATAGCCTCCAAAAGGAACCTATAATTTTGGTTGGCTTTAATTGGTCGTCTGTTTTTCTAGAATAATGATGTAATTGACAATTCTGCATCAATGTAAATCTTTGTAAGGTTTATTTGTCAAATCAGATGAGCATCACTGGCATGTTCCTCTCCTCCCACCTGCTTGATAGAATAATAGACCCTGTAGGCCTGCTAATCATAAGCGGCTTGTCTAGCCTCCTTTTTGTTACTTACAGTGCTGTATTCCTAAAGCAAGGTCAGAAATACCGGGTCACAGGAGCCCAACCCTGTGAGATGACTTTCAAATCAAATAAGTGCATAAAGCTAGATCACTCTGGGAAGGGTCTGCATTATGAGGTATGACTGGGAACACTCAGAGGGCTGTTAACTGATGTATAAGAAAGGATCCCAGAAGCTGATCAGTGGAATGAATGCCTTATTGATAAGATTGGAATCCTGACTGGGGAGTCAGGGCTGATCTACATACCAAGCTATCAGCAGATGAGAAGTAAAGTTCCACCCTTCTCCTGCTTCTTCTACTTCCCTGTCTCCTTTTTCTACTTTCTCATATGACTAATGCTGTATGACTGGTTTATCAGTAAAAAGGCCAGGATCTTGCTCTTGAGCAGCATCCTGCATTATGCAGCTGCTCCACGACTCCTGTTTCTTTATCAGTGTGGTGTTGCCCAATGCAAAAAGTGCTCCTATGACTCTACAGGCTTTCTATTTAAAAGAAAAAATCATCAATCATGATGTAGTAGCTAGAGTTTAATGAATGTGCTCCACTAAAAACAACCACAAAAACTGAACCAAAAATATCAAACAGTTGTTTGCAGATAACGAAGGACAAAAATTATAGGGCCTTGATCCTATATCTGTATCGCATAAGAAACAAATCCTACATCTATCCTAGTTTTCTTCCTGATATTATTTTTCAAAGTGTTGTAGAAAAAAAGGGAACTCAAGCAGAGAGGGGGAGAAACAGCTCTCAGAGGAAGAGGGCTGGGGGAGAAAGGATAAAGTAAGAAGTAAGACAAATTTAATAAAAAGATACATGTAATTTCCCTCAGCTACTTGATCATTTCCTAAGTGGTACAATTGCAGAGTGAGTCTGTGGGAAGTCTAAGGGGGATAAAAGAAACAGTTGCTAAGAGGGTGATAACAGTAGAAATATCAGAGCTCACTCATCACTGGGAAAAACACTGTAAGACCTTGGTGAGCATGTTTTCAGTTGAGGCTCAGAAAGATCTAGGGGAAGGACGAGGCCCTGGAGTAAGGGCAAGATGCAGTAGGTTGGCCTTAACAAGGCCTAAAACCTAGCTTTGACATGATTAAGGAGACCCTCCAGTAATGTAACATAACCCACAACCTCTATAACATATGGTCTACAATACCCAGCAGACAATGAAAATTACCAAAAGTAATAAAAAATAGAAAAAGGGGACTGAAGTCAAGAGAATAAAAATATGGTTGATAGAAGCAGACTCAGAGATGACTGTTATTGAAATGACAAAGTAGAAGAAAGATGAACAGAACATGTGACAAGATCAAACAAAAAATATTTTTTCAAGTTCTTAAAAATCAAAACCAAAAGAAACTATCAGGTTTTTGGAGGGAGAGAGAACACAAGACTCAGTACAAAGTGTGACAAAATGAATCTAACTGGACTGTAAATTAATCACATAACCACACGAGAAGGGAAGAACGGTGAACTAAAAAACTTTGGAATATAGTGTTTTAACTGGATCCTGGGAGGTTAAAAACAGAAATAATGATACACAAATTGTATGCTTTTGTAGCAAATTTGTTTCTCCAGGAAGGATCAGTTTAAAAACTGCTGAAACTATGTTGTATGTATACAAGGATTCAGCAAATGAGTAATATGAGATGATCATCAGAAAATAAGGGCAAATGAGGGTAAAAAGTAGGAGGAGAGATCTGTGGTGCTGGGTTGGAGCCAGAGATAAATACAGATGTGTGTATAATCAGATTAGTGTACAGATATCTTTTTTCTTGCTCTGTCCACTTAGAAGGCTTGGCAGATGCCACCTCAGTAGCAAAGAATCCACCACAGTCCAATAAAAAGAGCTATGACTCCTTGAAAAGATAGTTCATTTCAGCCAAAGGCAAAGAAAATACAGGTTGAAACCAGAGCAAATGATAGTGACAGAAAGTAACTCATAAAAGGACACATAAAGTCAAACTGAAAGAGTTCCCTGTGGCCAGTCATTTAAGCAAGAAAATAAATAGTAAGTGCATTAGATTATAAGCCAAAAAGTAAGTACCATTGTTTCCAAACTGAACTAACAAATAACTAAATAAGGAATAGGGTAGAGAGTAGCAGTAGGAGAGATTCTTAAATGATAATTCCACTTAATAAATGTGAAAGTCATGGGGGAAATAGAAAGTCACTATTGGAACATCAGAGTGATCATTTCCACAAGCAACTTTCACTCCTGGATGCCAAAATTAGCAGGTGAAAGTTTAAGGAGCAACATGTTTGCATCATCTCCAAGTCTCTCTCCAAGTCAGTGAAGATTATTTTTGGAAAAACAGTGATTTTATAGAACCTTGGCAAATACCACCTAGCCAAGTGATGGAGTTCACCAGTGCCAGTCACACAGCAGGCATATCACCTCTGTGTTAATTCTTGTCAGTGACAGTTGGTCTCAGCCTAATGACAAGAGAACCTCAGAAAAATGCAAATTGGACAGTACTCTACAAAATAAGTGACCAGTGTTCCCAAGAGAGGAGCCCATACAGGTTTGAGCAGATGAAGGAGGCCTGTGGGGTGAACTAGATCCTGAAGCAGGAAAAGACTCGGGGGTAAAACTACATGAATAAAACGTGTTGTTTAGTCAATACTGCTTTACCAACATTGAATCATTTGTTTTGATCATTTACTGTGGTTTTGTAAGCATAACATGAAAAGCAGCTGGGTGAAGCATCCACCGTGTTCTCAAAGAGGGAGGTACTGTCTCTAAGAAGATGAAAATTGGTTCTTAGGGGGCAAAAAAAAAATAGCTTTTTTGATGGGGTGAAGTGCAGCTATATAAAGAGTGCATGAAATAGAGAATATATCTGTAGTATTAAATTTTCATGGAGGGGTGGGCCCTCCCCAGTGGCACAATGGGTTGGAGCACAGGGCTATGAAGCTGTCCACAGCCACTGCAGTGTGAGTTCAATCCCCTGCCAGGGAGCTGACCCACATGGCGCAGCAGACCTCTCCTGCCTCACCCACTGCTCCCCTCAGCAGTGTATTTCAATAGATTGCCTTTTCTGCTCCCCACTGTCTCTGGTGAAGTCTTTCACCCACCGCACCTCTGGCTTGTGCCCCAGCTCTTGTATGCATAGATGGATAAATCTTTAAAAAAAAAAAGAAAATTCAAGCAAAAAAGAAATGGAAAAAAATCTGGCTCCTAAGAAGATAGATCATTAAGGTGGGTTACATAATTTAAGAGCCTGTGCTTCATTTCATTCCCATCCACGTTTTCAGGAAAAGTATACAAGTTGTGGAATTTCAGTAATTGGAGTAGGAACTCCCAGATCTTTTGTTCAAAATATTCAAAAAAGCAGTCAATTTAGGAAAAGAGGTTAAAAAAATATAGCTACAACTCTACTTCAGCCACATCCAGTTACGTCAGTGAGCTGTGTGGTTCCTTCTGCCATGGGTATTTGCTAATACTCCTCCTTCCAGAAATACCCTCCCTAGCTCACTTTGTTCATACATTGCCTGTCTGAGGACACAAGACATTTCTAGTCAAATATCCCTCCCTCAGAGGAAACCTTCTGACCCAGATTATTGTCAGGTATCCTTATGACGCCATCCCACAGAGACTACTGTTTTTTCTCCGTGCCTTTATCCCCGCTTGGGGTGGCTGCACGAGTCTTGTCTCTCTCTCATGAAAATGCCGATTCAGTGCTTTGTCTGCCATTTTATCTCCAAGTACCAGATCAGTACCTGCCACAGGGAATCTCAACATTTATTGGATAAATAACGGAAGCTGATCCAGGCGGGTGGGCATCCAGGTGCTCAGAATTCTTTAACATTTTCTACATAGTGGAGGCACAAAGGTTATTCTGTATATGCCTATTTGGAAGCTTGCATATAAATAAAACATTCTAATCAGTAAGTATAAGACAAACCAAACAGGAAAAAAAAAGTTTTTTCTTATCTCTCTACAACTACAAAGATACATGAATTTCTATCTTTGTACAATTAAGTCAACATATCTTAACTAGTAAGTTTTATTCACTACAAAGAATTTAGTAACTTTATTAGGTATCTTGATGAAATAGGAATTACAGAACAAGGAGAAGGTGAGAGCAATCACACCTTTTCGCAGGGAACTGTGGCTTTGAGGAAGATTTAGAACAAGATTCTTGGGCTTCACTACTACTGTCTGGTTTCTGTTTCCTACAGTGTTGGCAAATAGACCATAAAACACTATTTACTTCATATAGCAGACTGTAGTCATTATCCCCTTTGCCTATGATTAATAATGGAGGTTTACCTTAACTCACAGCTTTGTCTTTTAATATCTCCCAAGTCTAATACATAAATATGTTTGCTTTCTCTAAGTGCCTGAGCTGGTTTTTATGAACAAATCAGCAAGAACACCATGTCCATAACTAAGTATATTTGCTTCCATTCACGATTTATCTACCACCTTTTACTCTTTATCTTTGGGTTAGATTAGTAAGAGAGCCCGAGCCTCGTCACAGCTCCAGCCTTCCCCTTCTTAGGCAAAGAGGTCAGCCATTCTCACACACACAGACACGCACACACCCTCTCACATACACACCTTCACAGACCCCTCTCACACACACACTCCCTCTCTCACACACACACACACATCCCTCTCATGCAAATATCGTTTCCCATTCCTCATGTGACAAACCAGGTGTCGAGTAGCCATACCACCAGTGGGGGAGCCCTGGGGCTGCAGGAGCACCTACTTCCTGTCCTGTGTCCCTCCCTTTTCTCTAGCAGTGCTGGATAGGCTTTCTTGGCCTTTCCACTGAAACCAAGAAATCTTCAGAGCTGGGATAAAATAGATGGAGATTTGAGGACAGGAAAAGGAAGAAGACTCATTAAGGCCTCAGTCATACTCTTCAGGCTCCCCAACAAAAGCAGCTCTGCCTTTACCCCGATTAATACAGAGGTGGTGTTACCCCCAGAGGGGTGGCGAGAGGCGAGTGTCAGGCTTTAGAATCCCCTGCCAAGACCCCTCTCCCTGAAGCTTCTCTGCCTTCTGATCTTCACCTCCATCATCTCACTTTTTTTTTTTACAAAAGTTTATTTTTACATCATTTTGTACATTTTTTTTTCCATCTCAATTGTAATCCCCGCGGGATCACCAAGTCACCCGTGTGCCATCACCATAATCCCATGCATTTCCCTCCCCCCACCCTGTTTTTGATCCCATTCCCCACTCCACCCCCGCAAAATGTCTCTGGTATATGGTTGTTCATTATTATTATTTGCTCGCCTGGTCCATTATACTCCTGCTATGAGTGAAACCATCCGGTATTTTTCTTTCTCTTTCTGGCTTATCTCACTAAGCATGATCTTTTTTCCAGCTCCATCCAAGTTGCTGCAAAAGACATGTGTTTCTCTTTTTTGGTGGCTGAGTAATATTCCATTGTATATATGTACCACATCTTTTTTATCCCGTCATCTACTTTTGGGCATTTGGGCTGCTTCCATGTTTTTCCAATTGTAAATAAAGCAGCAATAAACATCCATCATCTCACTTTTAAACACAGAGAGCAAACTAGTTTCTATATTTAGGCTACTCTATAAAATATTTTGCTTAAAATTATTGTGAAGATTTCTTTCTGCATGTCTTAAGAGTATGGTTTCAGGTGAGAAATACGTAAGTGAATATGTAGTGTTGTGTGTTGTGTTTTAATTTTTTTAAGTTCTGGGACTTTATTCTCATCCCTGGGCTAACTGGTAACCACCTCTTACTCTGCTCTCTGGTTTCTGTACAAACTCCATTCTTTTTTTAAACACAGATGGTAAACAGCAATACATAATCCCGTCTTTGTTCATTCCAAATTTCTGCTAGCTTTCTTTTTCAAATGTATTTTTCTCAATGCCAGACTATTAAGAGAAGGCTTACACACAGAAGTTCAGAAACAATCTTCATCAGCCTGTGAAATACGCCCAGGCATGAGGTTTGGCATTGGGGTCATGGACTGCCCCTACAGAAGTTGGTTCCTTGAACAGACATTTACTAAGTACCTGTCTGTGCCAGGTACAGCATTAGGCATTGGCACAACAGTGAACACGAGGGATCCTTGTATTGTCCTGCATGGCTCCACAAGTCCCCTCCTCTTGGAACCTGTGAAAAAAACTATCTTTTTTTTAAAAAAAAAAAAAAAAAGGTTTGTTTATGCATAGAGAACTGGGGTACTGGCAGAGGTGTGGGGGCAGTGAGAGAATTCACCAGAGACGGTTGGGGAGCAGAACAAGTTGACTGACAAAGCACACTGCTGAGAGGAGCAGCGGGCAAGACGGGAGAGGTCTGCCGCGCCATGTGGGTCACCTTCCTGGGAGGGATTGAACTCGTGATGAAGCAGCTGTGGCTAGCTTCATAGCTTCCTAGCTGTGACTGTGCTTTAATTTGTTGTGCCACCAGCGAGGGCCAAAAAAAAACTCTTTTCAATAACAGTCTTCTCCTAAATTGGTGGTTTTACCATACATGAGTAAAAACAAAATCCTGGGTATATTTTTAAACAGGTGGGTCTCTTAACCATCCAGAACATAGCTAGAGCCACATTTTCACTTGGCTAATGCATTAGAGTTAACAGAAGTAAGAGAAGCCAGAATGACCTGCAGAGCCAGTAGAGAAAGTCACTCAGTAGAACTTAATTCCAGGACCCCAACCCCAGACTTCCAGAATTGTGGAAAGCAACTCAGCTGCCAACCTTAGGACTCCTGGCCTACCAAGCATTCCATTGAGTGGCCTGAAGTCCTTTTGGTTGAATGAGGAAAGCTTCTTTTTCTATTCCTGGATAGTTCATCATGCATACAAATAGGTCTTTAAGTAGCAAACACTTTCTCAAACTCAAGAGTAACTTCTGTGACCCAGATGAAACAATCATTAACAGCTAACATTGCACTGCCCAAAAGTTGAGTTCCTCAAGATGAAATAGCACCAAGTGTAAAGCACTAGTCTTCTAACCTAATTCCACATTAGGGAAAGAAAGTACACATAGTCTGCTCCTCCAGAGAACATTCCTATCTCCTGCCACAATATATTTGCTTGACCATAAGCCATATGACAAATTTCCCCCGAACAAGTCAACTGTCCCACATTCAGATTTATGATGACTTCAGAACTTTCTCTAAGAAAAAAAGGATGTTTTATATTTGCATATGTAAAGCATCCACTTCAATAACTTTCCTGAGACAAAGAAAGTCTGCTGAGAAGTCAAAGTCTCTCCCTCCAGAATGACGATACTGCCCGCCTCCCCAAACAGAAGTTTCCACCATACAAACAACAAAATGAGTTTTCTTTTCCAGGCAACCTGTCACATGCTGGAGATGGCTGATGTGCCTGGGTGGCTATCCAGGACAGCTCTTTGTTCAACTGTGTTGTCAGCACATGGTTGTGCTTAGAAAGAAATTAGCACATTTATGAATGGAACTCAACAAGCAGTAGCTATGAATCCAAAGAACTTAGATTAAATAATTCACTAGATGGGCAAGTTTTATGTACATATCACTGTAATTAAAGGGTAGTACTTTCACACTGGGTGCTCACCTAGGAGTTATTTGTAAAAACCCTGAATTTTTTTTTTTACATTTTCTTGTAAGATTTCCTTTGAAAATTAGTTAAGTTAGATAAACCACACCTGAAATTAAAAATGTGTACAATCAATCACAGTATCAATGTGGATGTGTGTGACACCTGAAAGCATACACTTTCTAAAACATAACCTGGAGAAAACCTCATACCAAACCCAAATTGAGCAACATTTACCAAAATAACAGGTCTTTATTATTTTAAACTGTCAAGATCATAAAAGAAGATGACAATCTCAAGGCTTCTCCAGATTAAAGGAAACTAAGGAGACTTGAGAGGTGATGCCTGACCCTGGATTGTCCCCTGGAATAACTGATGAACTCCAGACGTCTATAGACAATAGTATTTTTTCAGTGTTAACTCTGATTTTGATCATGCTTGCAAATAGCTCTGAAAAAGAATATACATGTGTACATACAGAGAGAGTGGTAAAGCAAATATAGCAAAATGTCAGCATTTGAGTGATCAAGCACACTTGAAATTTTTGTACTGGTCACCAGTTTTCTATACATCTGAAACAAGTTTTAAAATCCACCTAGGCATTTGCCTGCTATTCAAAATAAACATATGATAGCCTTGAGGCCCATCTGACAGTAGTCTGTTTTCTGCCTCCCTGTTTGAGTCACAAAGCATTAAAATTTCTTTTCCCCATTTTCCTCCTAGTACTAGCCAACTTCTCCCCTTGACACATAATATTTTCTTTCCTGTCTCTTTCAACCACAAACCCTAAAAAAAAACTTTGTGATATCTAAGAGATTCTATACAAGACATAGTATAAGCAGCTTTCCATGTAATGTTGTTAGTCTACAGGGAACAAGAGTCTAACAAATTTTGCACTTTGTTGTTCCATTATCATTCCCCACACATAAACCCAGCTATATGAGGAAAGAAGTTGTTCTTAGATAAGGAGAAAAACTCATTTTCAAATCAAATAGTAAAGAAATAGAAAAAGCAGCTGCAGGATCAAGGGACTTTAAGCTTAAGAGAGTCTGAGTTAGGGTTGAGTTAGCCTCTCCCCTGGCTCAGACAATTCCCAAACATTAGCCAGAACTTTCCAGGAGGGTCCTCTGACCACATCAAAAGAACGTTGGCATTCTCTGTTCTTCCTTTCTCAATCCTTTTACATTCTCCCAATTTGACTGATATTATAGCAGATTTTCCAGGGAATTCAATGAAATGGTCTCTACAAAAATATGCATTTTGCTACCTGAATATGAAGTACATTAAGTAAGATCAGACAAATGTGAGTCCCTTACCTTCAAGTAGCAGTTGTGTGAAACAGATTCCACGTCTGTACCAGATCCCTGGGGGGGAGGTGCTAATTCTACCTCCATGCATGTGGAATTTATAGGGAGAGATTATATATCCGGGTTTTTCATTACACAAGGTGTTTTTGATGAGTTCTCAGCCAAGATCCACTTAAAAACAAAAGCTACACAAAGACTACAAAAAGACCACACAAATTAAAACAAAAGACCAAAGAAAGACCAAACAAAAGTCAAAGAAACTTTAAACAAAGAGTGAAACAAAGACAAAACAAAGGCCAAACACACACTGGAACAAAGAGCAAACAAAGGGCAAAAGAGAATCTAAACAAAAGCAAAACTAAGATACAACATTATTACACACACACATATTCCAGTCTCCCACCTCCCACATAATCACCATAGGGAGACGAACCCTCACCGAGTTTGAATCCACACCAATTCTATCCGTATCAAACCATATGCCAGGTTCAACCACACCACACACAGTACACCATACCAAACCTTACACCATTCCACCTTCATGCCACCCACCAGAGTGACCATCTCACCCTAACGCACTGTATTTCACCCCACACACCACAAGCCAAACCCGCAAGCCATCAACATTGCTGGAGAATCACAATGACAAATTCCTATTATTTGGCTTCTGTTTCCACACTCTTTATCAACACTCCCCTCCTAACACACTCAAGTACTCACATACTCACACAACTAATATTAACCTATGTTGGCCCTCAAGACACTTAATTTCTCAGAGTACCTCATATTACAACTGAGATTGGTTTTGAAAGACTTTATGACAGTTACTACTTGCTTACAATTTACGAAAACATTTAAAACCATCTATTAAGAGTGAATGACTTCTGGCCCTCCCTGGTGGTGCAGCGGGTTAAAGCACAGCAATGAGAAGCTAAAGCCACTTCCGCATGAGTTTGATCCCCGCCTGCCCCAGAGGTGACCACATGACGTGGCAGACCTCTCCTGACCCGCCCGCTGCTCCCCTCAGCAGTGTACTTCATCGATCTGCCTGTTCTGCTCCCCACTCTGTCTCTGGTGAAGCCTCTCACCGCCCCTGAGCCTCTGGCCTGTACCCCAGTTCTGTATGTACAAATAAAATAAAATCTTTAAAAAAAAAAAGTGACTTCTATAAACGATGAATCTCACTTAATCAACATGTCATTTTGGTTGCAGTCTTAGACACTGGCATTTCCTTATCATTTCCCTAAAATTTAGAGGTCACACTATTAAGTCTTACACTCAGTGCTTCTGTTTAATTCCACATTCTAGATGTAGAGCTCACACTGATTTGAAACATAAAATAGTGTGAAACTAACCCAACCAACAGCAACCTAGTTTCTTTAATTCCCAGAGCTTCATGCATGACAGTGAGATATAAATGCCAACATTGTCGTCAAAAGAGAATCATCCTGGGAACCTTGAAGAGGAAACTCAATGAGACTGTGAACATCCAACATAAATCTTACTGTACACTATCTTCATAGCTCATTAGACATTTTTTCTCTGAATAATGAGTTACAAATTTATGCTGGTTGAGCCGCTCCTACTGTGAGGCCAGTACTTTGTTCTGCAGTGGATGTGCTAGAAGGCTTGGGAGGGGAGCAAGGTGACCCACAGCCTGGACTCTGGAGGACCTGAATGCCCACAGGGTCGCTATGTCCGGATGTGTATACTGACTGTCAGTACCGGCACAACTGAGGGCTGATCCATGGCAGCTGGCCCTAAGAAAGCTTGCAGAATAGAGGTGGGTGGCACTTGTAAGGACACATTTCCTGAAGACAACTTTGAGCTGTTCATAAAATTCAAAATATAGATGATCAATAGAAAAAGCGAGAAAGAATTTGTAATATATAAAGACCACCTTTCTTAAAGATCCATCTGCTTCTCAAACCTCTCCAACCAGTGTCATTAGTGGCACATTCCTGTAAAATTCTGTCTCTGTGTCTCTACATGAAATTTAAAGACTGTTTATACCACTAAGAGAGAAGGGCCCACTAACCACTCATTCTTTTTATTCTTGTTTCAATGCTGGTGTTTGCCCTTCGCCACAGCAACGTTCTCAGCCCCAGAGAGGCAGCGTAAGAGGTCACGTCTGAGTCAGTGTCACTCCTCTTGAATGGCAGCTTTGTGTTCCTGAGAGGGCGAGACCTGCCAGGACTCCAGGCAGACTCAGCCAAAATTAAGTGACTTGCTAACATTACAGAGGATTCTTCACAGAAACTGTGGCTGCCCCTGGCAATCCTGCGTGTGGTGGGTTGAGTTCTCTCCAGATGCATGTGCTGCAGCCCTAACCCTCAGTACCTCAGAACACGACTATCTTTGGAGAGGAGGCCTTTACAGAGGTAAATAAATGAAAATGAGGGCCCGAGGGACACCCCACCAACATCACTGGTGTGATGGGAATTTAGACTCTGAGACCATCATAGATGGGGGACAAGCGTTTAAGAAGATGGTCACCCACATGCCATGAGAGGGGTCCGGAACAGATCCTTGCGTCCAGTCAGGAGGAGCCAATAATGCTTAGACTTGCAGCATCTAGAACTGTGAGACAATAATTTCTGTTGTTTAAGTCACCTGTGGTATTTTGTTCCTCTAAATTTTAATTGAGGTTTCATAATTAACAAATACTTGCACAAAGTCATAGAAAGTCTTCTATTAAAAGACTTCTATTGCCCCTTACCTCATTCCATAATCCCACTCACCAGAGAAGACCGTGTTTTACTTTTTCAATGCTATTTTTTCTATATTTCTATATTGGTAAATAATTCACACAATTAGCCATTGTAGACTAATTACACACTTTGTTTCCTATTGAGGATTTTGTTTCCTTAACATCCTAATCCTTACTTTCTCTGTTCTCTCACCCACAGAATATAGTTATATTTGTAGGCAATTATATTACAAATAAGTATTATTTCTTATAAGGACTTGTTATCGACTCTTTTTCCTTTCTCTTTACAACTTTATCTGGAGTTTAAAATTATTGGCTTTGGTTTTATTTAAATTTGTTGAGTTTTTATCACCCTTTTTGTCCCAAATATTCCAACAGATAGTCAAACATCTATTCATGATTCTTTAAACATTCTAATATATCAAATACGAATATGCCTTCTATTGTCTCCTATAACCTTCAGTATTCTTATTTTGTTTCTAGATTGACTGTTCTCTAAGTCAACTGCAGGATGGGAACTTTATTACTTTGCTGGAAGGGATCATCTATGTCCCAGACTCCAGGTCATTTCCATTTTTTGTTTGCTCTCTCATTTTCCCAAAGCATGTCCTCTAGTACCTTTCTTAGAAAGGATATATATTGAGTGAACTTCTATTTTTGACTCCTTGCATACCTGGAAACTGCATTATTCTACCTTCATACTGTATTTTCTGTTTGGTTTGGTATGTTGAATTTTAGGTCACAAGTTATTTTCCCTAAGAATTGTGGATGAATTGTATGACTTTTTCCTCAAGTGCAATGGTTTAGAATTTCTAGATCTTTCAGATTCCAGTTCCTTTGCTATTTTTTTTAATCTTTAGAAATATTCAAGATCTTATTTTCACTCACCCCAGTTGTCCTGAAACTTCCCCATGCTATGCTTAAATGCTTTATCTTACAGAAATACCAAGGTAAATAATAATTGCTAGATCCAATCTGAGAGAAACAAATGTCAGTGGTTCCTCACAACCATCCTTTAGTCCTCACTGTCAGAGCACATCTGCCTTCTCTAAGACTTTGACCTTGAGATTAAAGGTTTTCAGCTATGTAGTCCCCAACATTCCATCAAACAATAATATGATAACAACTGAGCTGCCAGTCACTCAGACAAAGCCTCTATTTGTTCCCCAGCTCCACACCCAATGTCTCTCTCTCCCTGATGGGACCAAGCCACAATTGTGCTCTGGCCAGTGGTGACCAGTGTAGTAATGTACATCGTGTTCCCCAGTTAAGGGTCTGGGTTCTAGCCAACTCGCAGTATTAAAACTCGCTCTGTAGGAGACATGCTTCTGGCTGCCCAGCTTACTCGGCCCATCATGGATTGTAGCTCCTGTGATATTGATACAGTAAATGGCTCTCAGATAAGCGTTTGCAGATTTGCCTCCTTTGACAAATCTATGACGAAATTGGTTTTCCCAGACCTCTTAATTGTCTGTGGGTTTACTTTTGTTTCTCTCCTTTCCTTGCAGTTTCTCTTGTCTTGACAGGTTTAGGGTCAAGGAAAGAAAACCCAAATAAAAGCACATAGTGAGAAAGCTCGCTGCACCTACTCCTCTTGCTCCCTGTGCTGCCCCCTGCCCCTCCCCATTACTCTTGCTAATCCCCCATTTTCGTTTGTCTTTGTGTAAATAAAGGCTGGTGCCCACTGGCCTCCCTCCCAGCACTAAATTTTACTCCCTCTCCTTCGCGGACTCTCGCCCACTGAAAGGAAAGGACGGACGCCGTGAGTCTGTTCACCAAGAAGTACGTCTTTATTTCAGAACTGAGCTTATATACATTAAAAAAAAAAGGGGGGGGTTACTGTGGCCTATGCCCATTGGCCAGGCCCCGGCTAGGCAGGCGGAGAGTAATGAAAAAATTATTTATGGGAAAAGAGCCTATAAGCAGGCGGTATTGGATCTCTAGCCATATATGTGGTGGAGACAGCCAGACCCAAGGCCAGGGGCGCCTCCTTATCAGCTGGGGCCCAGAATTGCAAAGTAAGCCAAACTGCTTCACCCACCTCCCCTTTTTCTTTGTCGAACATTGTACAAACAGCCCTGTAACTTGCCAAAGCGCAGGACGGTGGTCTGGTCTTTCGGACAGGTCTGCTGCCCTCCTCATTTGTCGGCAAATAAAACCACTTTCCTTTTCCTCAAACTCTGTTTCCTTTTATTGGCTGAGGGAAACTGAGACCAGTGTTTGGTAACAATATTCCCATCACAGCAGGAAAGGGTGAGCACAAGGCAGTGAGATGCTAGGGTTCTAGCAAAAGGAGAGACTCAGAGTAAGAACGTGTTAAAGATAACCAGAGTCGAACAGTCAAGTGTTGAGCATGGGTTTTGTTCAGGAGCTATTGCAATAGGAG